TTTTTTTTTTTTTTTTTTTTTTTTTTTTTTGCAAACATTTTTTTCTTCTTTTTTGTACTTTTTTCCTTCAATTTGTTTCGCACATACATAAGATTTTCTTTCCTTTACCGCTTGAATACAATAATAATGACACGATAAGTAATTTTTCCTAACAGAAATACATTGCAATCATCCCAGCGCAAATACTGAGAACTTGGTGTAAAATGAATGACCCTGCCATCATAGTGAGACAAATAAGTTAAACATCTACTCTGACATTGTGAAGATGCACACCTACAACATAACAAAGACATAAAGAAGCAAGACAAATACAGGGCAAGATTTCTAGTAAAATGGTTAAATCAATGGTTCTCTTTAAGCTAGAACTAAATGCAGAAAAAATCCCGATGACATGCACAAGAGAGACCAAAATAGCATACCTACAATGTTTCGCTAATAAGCCTTAAATAATACGCGCTTTTGCAGTATCTTTGACTTAAGTTCAGGTAGAACTCCCCAATACCAATAGAAAGAAAAGGAAACTTTAAATCACTTCACCAAACCCTAGATAGATTTACTTTTGAGATACACAGCAAAGTTGTGCAGGAATAAATTGCACATACATATAACTAATCTTCGCCTAGGATATGCTCATCTACAGAAATTAACTACAAAATTAGCTAGTAGTGGAGGCTGCATTTGTCAGGTTGCAAAACAAATATCATCAAGATCATAGTGCTTGTGAAATAGCGTTTGATCAACTAAAAACTGCAGTATATGAAGAATAATGTAAAAAGAAATAACAAGAAAAGAAGTACAAAAACTATAGTTCTAATCTCACGTTGCCAACAAACACGGATCGCGAATCTGTCTCCTCCTTGCTTTCTTGACTTACAACCGCACCGGCAGGATCTGTAGTGAGATATTTTAATCAGCAAGACTGACGATGCTACAGCAGCTTCATACAAAATTTAAAGACTCGTATAGTCTTGAAGTAATTCGAGAAGGAGTTAAACCTTGAACAGCGCCCATTTCCTTTTCTACCTTGGCCTGCATCTCGCGAAGAGCAGCTGCTTCCTCCTCCATCTCCTTCAGTCGCTTCTTCATCTCGTCTAGCTCCTGCAGTAACCACAGAACACAATAAATTCAGATACCACAGAAATCAACCTTTTACAACACAACTGTTTTGATCGGTGATCTACGTGGTTGTGAGAGAGGGAGTAGAGGGAACCTTGATGGCGTCGTCATCGGCGGCAGTCATGTCAACATCACCCTCTTCGACCGGGATCTCTCCACCGTAAACCTCGTGCTCCTCTTCATCCATCTCCGTCCTTCCTCGTGTAGTGTACCTATCACAGCCTTCGCCTGAACAGGTGGAATGAGTTATATAAGATATAGGGTAATCAACCAATCCAACCGTAGATCAGGTGAGCAGTTTCGGACAAGCATATGTTTAGTTCACAAGCGCCTGTCAAGCCAAGTCCAACCCAAGTCACCAGCCCAATTCTTTATGATTAACAGTTTTTTTTTGTACAATTTAAGTTACCCAGCGCCAAGACAAGTCCAACGCAAGTCAGAGGCTCCAGCCCAATTACTTTGGCTTGGTTGATCCGATTGGGCGCTCTATGTTACCGATTTGGTTGGATGGTACCGGGTTTAGCTACCTACATGTCAATAACCGAATTCGCTATCAAGGATATATATATATATATTTTTTTTTTTTTTTTCAAAATGTTTCATTTTCCTAGTATCTGAATTCATTACCTAAAAATGAACAAGGATTTTTTTATAAATAAAAATATTAGAAGGGTAACTATTGTTCAGATAAGATGATTTATTTGAAATTAAAATTGAATTTATATTTTAAACACAATGGATTAAGTTGGATTAAGTTGTCTATAAAGTTTTGATGATTTATTTTTATTTTTAGATAAAGAAAAAATATTTATTAGAGTAGGAATATACATGGTCCGAGTGGTCAGGTTGGGACATTTTTAAAGGTATAAACAAATTTATATTTTAAACAAACACAATCCGTTGTTGAGACATTTTTAAAG